AAAAGCTGGGCCCAGATTGAAAATGTCTGAACTCAGGGATGGGCCTCGGACTGCATTTCTAGCAAGTACTCAGGGGATGGTGATAGTGGTGGTTGGGGACCAGCTGGGAGCACTGCTGAGCTATATCTTCATGGGCTGACAGGGATGTGGCCACCACACATTGTTAAGAGGAAAAAAAAAAAAGCAAGCTCTGTAGAATAGACCATTGGCAACAGACTTGCTTTTTAGGTCTGCCTGTGGGACCTGTTCCTGTCCCCAGGCCACCACAGAAATTTGATTCTTGTTCCCTTCCTGACTCCAGACTCCAGGGGGCAGCATTCACATTACAGACTTTGTGAATGATGCTCTTGGAGTTGTGCAGTGCAGAACCTGAACAGCTACACCAGGCAGCCCTGCCGGATCCTGGGTGTCTGTCCTTCCCCTTCCTTTCTCTGTGCTTCAGCTGCTCACCCAGGGGTCAGAGCTGAGAGGAAACCCACAGAGGCAAATTGTGGTCCCAGCTCACGCTTCCTGTGCCACCTCCGGAAATGACTTTCCATGTCAGAGATTCGTGTTATTCATGTGTAAAATGAGATCAGTATCCCCCTTCCAACTGTTACCATGACATTTCCTTTCCTTCTTGGCATTTAGCACCATCTGGACTGGAGCCTGTTTCCCTTATTTATTTTGTAGTGTCTCTTCTCAAATGTTAGTTCTGAGGAGCAGGGAATTTTGCCCGTCTTATGCACTGGCACATTTTTGCCTTTAGTATAGAGCTTGCACACAGCGGGTGTGCTGCAGTTTGAGTGGGTCCTCAAATTTCATGTGTTGGTAACTTAATCCCCAAAGTCACGTGTTAGTGATATTTGAGGGGTGAAAAAAAGTTTCTTTTTTGTTTTTTTTCTTAAAACAGTGCTGGGGATTGAATACAGGGACTTCACACTGAGCTACATCCCCAGGCCTTTCTATATTGAGACAGGGTCTAAATTGCTCAGGCTGGGCTTGAACTTGTGATCCTCCTGCCTCAGCCTCCCAGAGTGCTAGAATTACAGGTGCTTACAGCCATTCCTACCCCCTCCACGGCCTAATCTGAGGCACGTCCCCTCTCCCTGTCCTCACTTTACTGAACCTCTTACCTTTGCTCAAGGCGTGCCGGTTAGAACTGGACACAACGTCAGGTCCTTCCTCTGCCCCAGTCCTCATGATGCTTCCTGTGTAGGAAAAGCTGGGCCCAGATTGAAAATGTCTGAACTCAGGGATGGGCCTCGGACTGCATTTCTA